AATTTGGTTATTATTGGATGTCATCTTTCACTTACAAAAATCTTTGTTGATTCAAACAAAATAACTGCTTCCATGTTTCTCTCTCCTACCCTCATGGATAGTTTATTATGGAACACACACTGTACACAAAATTGTTTAGAGGAGAGAAGTAAGGTGAAGTTACCCAGAATTTACACAATTAAGAGTCATCTTGCATAGATGCAAACTGCCTCAGTCCACAATCTAAGATTCCTTGTACCTACTGTAGATCAGCAAAGAAGAACCACTGCAAGAATTACCTGTTGTGATGCTCACATCTGCAGCTTTGGTCTCCATTTTTTTTAGTTCATCCTTGATTTGCTTTACTTTTACTGCTTGTGCATTGCTGTCCACAAATGGAGCTGCCACAAACCTAGAGTCACAAGAGGTCTGATTTCAAAGTGATCCAATATAATATATATAGCACTGAAAAAAGAAACCTTCCTTTTGAAACATTCTTACAATTTGAGCGGGCATTGGTTAGCCGACAACAATTTCATAAGAAATTTTGAAAACTGTTAGAGGTCATTATACAAATTAAAACTTTAAACTTGCAAGTAAGAGTGATTAACAAATATTTACCAGGCAACTGTTTGCTTTTTTACAGCCTGATGAACCTCATGGACTAAATTCCTCTTCTTTAAATTCTTAATAAAAACTCTAACATCAGCAAAGGGAAGCTTGCAAGCTTTACAATATTGCTGAAAAGAAGCAAATAAGTATTATTGGAATGTAAGGAATATTGACAAACAAATATATATTTAATGTTCTCCAATCCTGACTTACTGACAGAGTCAATCCATGTGGTCCTGCCTGTTCAATAATCCTGTAAGCCTGAGTTATCATAGGCCGCTCAGCAATAATAATTGAGTCATAATCTAGAAGGAAAGGATAATAAGACTTAAAATATTTTTTGAGAAGTAGCAAACACAAAACTGGTGAGTATCCCTTAAAAACACCATGTACTGTACATTGTAAAATGGTGCAAATAGAAACAAGACAAGTACAAGTGCTAATAATGGAACGTCTGAGCAAAGTGAATCAACATTAACCTCCACCCCTTCTTCAGAAATTAGGGACCTTATGAAATGACAATGGCTCAACTGGAAATTACACCAATCATAACCTGATTGACATTTGTAGGGTAGAACTTTAAAAACATGTACATGTAACATTCAGGTCCATTCAGTTTTTGGAGTAGCATGATCATTAGGTGTCCCCGATTAGTAGGCCACCTGTGGCCAGCTAGAAGAGTTTGACACATTAATAAAGTTCATTGATTCATTAATTACAGGCACACCAGATATTTAACAATTGTTCACCAAAGTGCCGGGAGGTTAATGTTTAACAATTATTCACCAAAGTGGGGGTTCTTAGTGGTGGTGGATATTTACCAAGACATGAATTATCCACTTCTACAACAACACTGAGGTGAATTATTGTTTTAGCATATACCTCACAGATACCAAAACCTTAGTTTAATTCTTTTATAATATTATAATAATACCAAAAAATGGTCAGAAACCAAACTCTTACTATGTGATTTTGTCTCATTAGTTGCTCAGAGATTAATAGTACTTGCTATACACTTCCCAACTAGCAATGCAGCATGCACAAAATGCACTACAGTAAAATCTGTATCAAGCAGTTACTCACTGAGAATGACACAGTAACCACAGGTTACAAGTTACAAGTTTGAATGTATTCACTTGCATGGGATATACTGATGCTGGATACTTGTTTTTAAACCACAAAGAAACCCAAAAAATAGTTTTAATTGCTTCTGTCGACATACCAATTGAAACCATTGTCAGAAATTAAATGTTGATGTATGATTTTGTGTCTTTGGCAAATCATTCTCCTCAGCTTGGAGGATGATAGTACTTAATATTAATCACTTCCCAACTAGCCAATCAGTGCACACAAAAAGGACTATTTACCAGTGTGTGGTACATACAATATAGAAACTTAAAGGATGCATTTCTTATTATGCACCAGTTCTTCATAATCATACCATCACTCTGCAAAGAGTCACCTTCAACATCCTGATCCTTATCTTCATCATCATCACCATCATCATCATCATCATTTTCGTCATTATCTTCTTCATCATTTTCCTCACCATCTGGCTTCTGAATGTTGCTGGTTTTCAGAATAAAAGGCTTGAGAAGTCGCATTTTCATTGTGGAAACATTAGGAATTGCAGATGACTTTTCCTTTTTCCTTTTCTTCTTCTTTGGTGGACTGCAGTCATTGCCATCTGCTCCAACAGGAAATGCTCCAATTTTTTCTTCTACAGCATATCCTGCCTGTACTAGAAACTGCCGCACTTTCCTTAAGCCCTTTTTCCTTAATTCAGTCTATTAATTAATAGAGGAGAAAAGGAAGATTTAATTGTAAATAACTTGGTGATTTTTCCTCATTAGAAAACTTTGTTGCAAAATAATGGCGACATTATTTCTTTGATTATTACTGAAATAAATACTTCAATNTAATATATCTTATTAACCAAGCGCGAGGGCCGTACTGGGAGAATATCGGCCCGAGGTCTTGACAGTACGGACCGAGCGCAGCGAGGTCCGTACAAAAAAGACCGAGGGCCGATATTCTTCCAGTACGGTCCCGAGCAAGCTTGGTTAATAAGAGATTTATTACACGACTGAAGTTCAAAGGGACACAAGTGCGGTATCATTCGGGACCATTCGGGACAGTGCCCGGTCCAATACTGAGAGAATATTGACCGGCAATAGAGCATTTTGATTGGTTGATTTTAGTTATTGGCCCTCTGACTTCCCGAGTCGTGTAATAAGCTTGCTTTATTGAATCATTAAAACTTATCAGCTACATAGATTTCAATAGTTTGGGCCCAGGATTAACAGTTGATTGTCGGGTCTGATGTTTGGTCAGCCTCCTTCACCAAAGAAACTGTTTAGAACATGTAACATAAAGTTGATCAAACACAGGCAAGAGATGAGGAAAGGTACTGTCCACATTTACAGTCTGCGTCTGGTCTTAGACTTGTTCTATACTGTACAAGTTTTTTTTCCCATATATTTTGGTCCCCTTATCTTTGAGCTGTACTGTACACTTCCAAACACTATTGACTTACAAACCACTTGATCGATTGGGACCCTGCTTTATGCTTAACCATTGGAAAGGTGGATTGATAATTAATAACTTGGATTGTTCAGTGTGGCCATTTCCTATCTGTATTTCTGCATTGTTTTACAGTGTAAAACTGTGGCATAAATGGCATGGTCCACAACCCAAAAATTGGAAAACAGCACAACAATGGAGTAATAGCAAGATTTACTCTATATTTGGGAAGGAAAACCACTTTGAGTCACTAATCAACTTCACAACTTTTGCCAATCACAGTTGGCACAGAGGTTGTAAAATTATCCATCACATTTATATCATATGTATGACCATCATTACAAAAAAATTGACCACTGAGACTGTATAGCTATACACTATACTTTACCTGCATAGTTACTAAATGAGCTTTGCGTAAAAGTTTCAGATGGTGAAAAGTTGTCCTTGATTCAACCTTAAAGAAATTAGAGCTGATGGATTTCTGCATGCGTCCACTGTATCTTGCTTGTCCAATATGCTCCAACAAACAGAACTGTATATCTGACAATGACAGATAAGGATCACAATCCAATCCAAAAATGGCTTTTTCCCTCACATCCTGAGAGGCAACCATAACAAGACAGTCTCCCCATCTGAAAAAATAAGGATTAAAATATCACTACAGTCATGCTCAGTATCATCTCACATCCATTTCTTATCTTTCCAGGAATTATATAAATTTACCCAAACAGCTTTAGACATGATAATTTGGATATATCAACAACGTTGAAATGTTAAATTGGCTACTGTAACGATTACAAAAGCTGACGTTTCGAGCATTAGCCCTTCGTTGGAGCGAAATTTCAACTTTGTTGATATATCCAAATTATTTTGTTATCCCCACCCACGCAGCCCCAAACAGTTTCTTTAGAAACTATCAGCTTTAGACATAGCTTCTTTACGATGGAAACGGGCAGTCTTCATGTGTTTTTGTTAAGAAATTACAAAAATTTTACAATTATGATAAAAGCAAGTTTGTTATGGAAAACAAGAAAAGTTAAAATGCCCTCTCTTGAAGATAAAATTTTAATGGCACATGGCAACTTGGATTTTTTCAATAACAGTGTTACAGTAACTTATCAACAAGCTAAGAGACAGTGCTTTCAGAATTTATGAATAGTTTTTTGCTCTATAATAGAGATCAAAAAGCATTTTCCTTCATTGCCTAAATTCAAACAGAGAATTATAAATAGCATTTTTTGTATTGTAGAAAGATGTTTTTTTGTCTAGTCATGAGCATGGGAAAAAGAAACAATTCTGAGTCCCCATGAGGAGTCGAACCTCACACCTTCGGATTCCGCACTCTGATGCTCTACCACTGAACCTCAGAGACTCTGTGGTGAGCAAGGCCCATTACAAAGTTCAAATAAGACATGCATCTTGCATACTGCATACCTGCATACTGCTAAGATCGGCAATGTTGGCAATGCATTTTTTGTATTGTTTGGCAAAATCCACCAACTGTAATTCCTGACATACCTTTCATAAGCAGTCTTTAAGTCTAGAAAATCTCCATCTGAAGAACCTCTAATCTCCTCCGATATATTTTTGCGCATATGATAACTAGGACAGGAACCCTTTATTCCACTTTCTTGGTCAGAAATCAGCTTAAACTCACTACTGAATCTGAGTGGTCCTGGAAACTGACAAGATATTCATAGTCACATGACTTAAGCAGCTGGATACATGTTTTAAGAGTGCTCTACTTTTTTCAATTACCCCCTGCATGTAACACTTAACACCTGTAATACTGAGATCTTAAGATGCATTATTATATGGCTGTGTCTGACAAGGACTGGGAACTACCGAATTCACAAATTTGATTGGCTGAAATCAATATTGAAAGCGGTCTAGATTTTCCCATCTAGACTGGCATCTAGACCGGTCTAGAAAAAAAAGATACAAAGAATATAAACAATTGGCATATAAAACACAGCCGTATAATAAACATCTTATAACCGAGCTAGGTCGGTCTGTATGGAGAATCTTGACCTCGGTCAGTGGTACAGACCTCACTGCATTCGGTCTGTACTGGTGACCTCGATCAAGATTCTCCCATACAGACCTTCCACTCGGTTAATAAGAACTAAATATATAAGTAAGTCAACACAATGCTACATGAGCAATAACCAATGAAATCATTTTGCTTGCTTTTTCTTCTTAACAGTAATGACTACTGTGGGTGCAACGTACTGCAAAGTATACTGACAGTACACGTCGGGTAAATTGTGCTTTCTGCCATTTTTTTATTTTGTTACCATTTCTACACTGATTTGAAAAAATTAAAACACACTATCATGCAGTTCCTCCCAAGCTGTGCTGCTGCAGATATATTATATAGCAACATATGATGAAACAATGCAGAATTTATCAATTTTGATACCTGATCAAGAGAGCTTTTTTGCTCAGGGTTTGTATCCTTATCTTTACTCCCCTGTTCTTGTCTACTGCCAAATATGTGAGGAAAAGGCTCTGGAAGGGCAAAAAAGTCAACCTCTTGGAATTTTATGATTCCCTTCCATAGGAACTGCTTTGTACTGTCATCAAGTGGTAAAGAAAATGGTGGTCCTCTTTCCTTTAGGTGCTTCCATAACTCCTGTATGGGACAACCTGTAAAAAAAAAATTATCAGCTAATGAGAGCTTTCTTTTCTCTGTACCTTTTCTAATGCTGACCTCTCCTTGACATTGACATCTTACATATAGGATGGGGTGTGGCAGGACACTAGTCTTACATCCCTCTTGACAACACCTCTACCTTTACAAAAAGTAATGCAGGAAACAGATTTTTTTCTGTTGGACAAGTAACCCTTGTACAGAAACTGATTGCAGTTATAGCACTGTAACATGTCTTCTAGGAATTATCAAGGTGAGGAAAAATGAATTAAAGTAGATGGCCAATAACAAAAACACATTGGGTAATAAAAATTTGCTTGAAGTAACAAGATTGCTCTAATAAGGTGAAACAGATCATGTTTACTGTTGGTACTCTTGACAAGTATATCAGTCAATATGTCCTTCAAGAGTTACTCAATACTCAACTGATATGTCAGTTGACAATTGGTCAACTCTTGGTCTACACTTGGTTGACATTCAGTCAATGGTTGGTCCACACTTGGTTGATGGTTGGTAGACACTCCGTTGATGGTTGGCTGATACTCAGTCAATCAAGACTCTGTCAAGACTCCGTCAATAGTCGACAGTCAATAATCTCGACCGATATATATGGACTGATTATAAACTGAGTGTCAACTGACTATCAGCCAAGTGTCAACTGACATATCAGTTGAGTATTGACTGACTCCTGACCGATATATCATACATACATACATATACATACATAAACTTTATTTCCATTCGGATTTATGAATAGCACTAGATGTGCTAGTATCTCCGAACATATAACTACAAACAAATGACAATAAGTTTAAAATCGAAAGACTCTTATAAAACCTCATATGAAAATGCTAATAATTATATACTAATCCTCACTGGATATAGAACTCCTAATGGCACGTTTAAAAGCTGCTAGAGTGTCTGACATTTTTAATTCATCTGATAAGCTATTCCATGCAGAGGCAGCAAGATACCTGAAAGAGTATCATCGGATATACCGGTCGAGAGTACCTACAATAAACATGATCCGGTAAAACTGCAGAATACAGGGACACTCATTTACATCTCCTTGAATCACACAATACAACCTTTAGTGTTCTGTCTTATTCTTCAAAGCATAAAGACAAGGCGAACGTCAGTGGCGCTGTATGCTGTAGCTGCTCTCAAGATTACATTAACTGAATCCATGTATGAATATATCTACTAATTTATCGGAGAAAAATAAAGCACTTCCATGCATTTCCAACCAAGTTCGTTGAACCTTACCATCTAAACCATCCAATGCTATTTCATCAATGCAGTCCAAAATAGCATCCATGTTTTAATAATTACATGGATGGATATTCTGGTGCCATTATGTGTAAAATAGCCACAAACGCATGTTCACGTTTGGCCATCCATTCGACCACAATTTCAACCAGACCGTGAGAAGACTGGATACGAACACAACAAGTGAGGAGTTAGTAACTGTGACAAAGTTCCACAAGAATGATCTAATAAAGTAATCTAAAGAGTTTTCCTATCGACGATTCTTCCCTGGAAGATATTGAAAAATCCACTTGACTATCCTTTTCCGTTTCTCGTCTCTCTCTCGCGGAGAATCGCGCATGCGTCGGTAGCAGTGAAACGATAAGATTTGTAAAGTCTTATTTGAATTATCGTACCAAACTTTGAGCTACACTCTGTGTAAAGTATATGAAGTTACGACGAAGTTTAAAAAATGGCGAGCGTGGTGAGAAGACATCGTTCGAGATCGCGATCGCCTGCACGAAACAGAGGAAATCGAGACGATCGTGGTAACGAAAGAGAACGTGATAGGCGAAGGCAACACAGGGAGTAAGTAATAAACTAAATTGGCTTTAATTTTTTTAGTCAGTAACAGATCGAAATTAATAACTGATTTTATAGTTGGAAAGGGAAGTACTAATCAAAAGTACTCAAATGATTTGGTTATATCAACTAAGTTGAAATAGTAAATTGGCCACCGTAAAGAGTTAAAAAGCTTTTTAACTCTTAACGGTGGCCAATTTACCATTTCACCTTAGTCGATATAACCAAATTGCCTTGTTACCCCCACCGACACAGCACCACAGTTTCTTTCTCAAATGATTTGCCGACAGTTTCTGCCCAGTGAGGGCAAGTGATTCTCATAATAGTGCATAGATCTTGGCACTTACATATCTTACCTAGCTTGGGAAATAAAATCAAATGTGAAAAACGGAAGGAATTCTTCTCTCGATCAGTAGTAACGGGGAACAGCAGCAGTACTCAGTGTTACCTAACAACAATAAATAACTTAAACGAAGTTTTCATTATTATCATTTCAAATATAAAGACAATTTATTCTCCTAAAACATTTGTAGCCATAACCATTAAGAGATGTTTATGATATGGTCTTGAAGCTAGGCAGGTACAAAATTTATTTTATGACTGTTGCTCTAAATTCACGTCTGCCAAAGCGCAAAAGTTTAACTTTGAATGATACCTTCTTTTTTTAGCAAGCATCAAGAAACAAGAAATAACCGAGTAGATAGGAGGAGTCGTCACCAAGACACAAGTCATGGGGTAAGTAGTGCAGAGAATGGAAAGAGTACCATGTAACCCCATACATTAATTATGCATTCCACTTCTTTGTCTTAATTTGTTTTTCAAGACAAAACTTTGAAGCAAAGTCTACCAGTCTGAATGCATAATTAATGTATGGGGTTACATGGTACTCTTGCCCAGAGAATTTGATAATAAATGAATTTATTGAGCAGTAGTTGAAAGTTTTCTAGTTTCACCCGTATGTGTATATGTATGTGCATCTGTAGGGTTACAGGATGTGATTTCTATTTACATGATGCACAATGCTTTGGACATTGCTATTCCTAGCAGTGTGCAGGATGCTTGTTGCATATGAATCTCTCCATGGCTTAGCCCGTCATAGAGTCTCTGAGGCTCAGTGGTGGAGCATAGGAATCCAAAGGTCCTAGGTTCAATTCCTCATGGGGGCACAGAATGTTTTCTTTGTCCCATGCTTGTGAAAAGAAGAAAAACCTTCTGTCTCTATTACTTTACCAAGCTCTGAAAAAATTTTTAACATATTTCTCATTCAATTTTCACAAAAAGCAATTGATAGTGAACGTTACCCAAAATATGAATATATCAACAAAGCTGAGATGGTAAATTGGCCACCGTTACGATTATAAAAGCTGACGTTTTGAGCGTTAGCCCTTGGTTGGAGCGAATCCAAAATAAATGTATACCCAAAATAAATGTTACCCAAAATGATTTTACCCAAAATAATTTGCTTGTTAAGTTTCTTCAAGTCATGAACAGTTGTTTCAAAACTACTTAGAACTATATTCCAGACATTACAACTTTCCCCCTTCTTTTTCTATGCTTGGAAAACCTGGTTGCTTGGACAATAAACGATTACAATAATTATTATTTACCTATTTACATGCCTATCATTTTTATCAGAGCACATCAACCAGAAGAAGAGAATGGGACAGAGATAAGGATCACAGTGAAAAAGCTCCTGAAGGTTGAGATTCGAAATGTTTTTAATGTTTTTCCCAATATATTGCCTTTGAAGTGAATGACTCAAATGGTTAAAACCATGTTCAGAATTGGATGATTTTATCTTTTTTTTTTTTTTTATATGCCTGATCAGAAGAACATCAGGCGATAGTGACTGAGTTTGTGAACGGTACCATTTTGAAAAGAAAATTTGATTGTTTGGGTAATTTTAGACAGAGAAAGTCAATAAATTCATGAAGTTCAATCTGCTACACATCTTGTGCAAAAGAATTTTGTTACTTATTATGAAAGTTATTGTAGAAAGAAAACACTGAGTTTTAATTAGACTCCTCAAAAACAATATCAGTTACGTATGATGCACAATCCTCGCAGTAGATAGCGCTATTTAAGCAATAGTGAAAATCAGACCTGAAAAAAATCAGGCCTGTACGGGAGA